CTTTACACTTTTTACTGAGATGGGGGGGGGTCTCATTAAATTGCCCAGAACGGCCCTGAACTTGCCACCCTCCTGCCTCAGCCTCCTGAGTAGCTGAAGTGATACATCTGGGCCACCTGTCAACTAACATGTTTTGCAAGAGCAGTATGGGGTTATTTTATCTATATAAAGCCCACCTCGAAATAGCCAGCCCCTGAACTACAGCCCCAGCCTCTTTACACTTTTTACTGAGATGGGGGGGTCTCATTAAATTGCCCAGAACGGCCCTGAACTTGCCACCCTCCTGCCTCAGCCTCCTGAGTAGCTGAAGTGATACATCTGGGCCACCTGTCAACTAACATGTTTTGCAAGAGCAGTATGGGGTTATTTTATCTATATAAAGCCCACCTCGAAATAGCCATTAAAAAAACAGACCGCAAGGACATCCAAAGGGCTGGAAAGACAAGGTGCCATGCATTTTACCTAAGGACGCCCCACTGTGCTTCCGCTTACAGCCTGTCAACTACGCGTGTGGCAATGGATGATCCGAGGTTTCTGTTTTGTGTGTGCTGATGGGAACTGGAACTCTGGCTTCTTGCACGCCCAGTGAGTTCAGTGTCACTAGCTGATTCCCAGCCCAGTTAATGTGCGATTGTAATGGCCTTGATAGTCCAGTCTGACAACCCAATCAGCAAAAAAATGTGTGTGTGAGACAGTAAGCAGCCCAGCAGCCGTAAGGCTGACACGGAAGTTGGAAAGGAGGCAAATTCTGTTCTGCAGCAGGTCTAAGGAAGCAGAGGCGTGCACAGTGGGTTTCAACGACTGCAACTCACATGTTTAAATAAGAAGTTTAGAGCCTGAGGAAGCTTTGCTGGCGAGGCGCAGGACAAAGGAGGGGACAGGACCAGCACGGGGGTTCGGCCAGGGGGAGGTAACCAGGGAGCTCCCCACTTTACCCGCAGTGTCACCCCCCCAGATGCCTGTAGGGGGCATGCCTACTGTTCCCTGAAAGCTGCTGGGTGGGGTTCCCCTCACCTCCTTGATTAGGTCGTCGAGCTCAGAGCGGCCGCACTCCATCTCTGTGACATCACTCAAGCAGCCTCCAGGTGCCATACCCAGCTTGCCTATGGGAAAAGGGAGAGACACCATGACCCCGGCACACAGTCTTCCTGAGAGCCCCATCCTCCTTGCTAAATGCTGAGTTAAGGAAACAGAGGTGGTGAGCGTTCACTCCGGTGTCAGCAGCTGCCGGAAGGTTTGGGAAAGGCTCGCTTGCTCCTTCCCATGCCCCGGGTCAACTGACCAGCCAAGTCAGAAGGGAGAAGTGAGCGGTGGGGGGGGGGGGGGGGGAGGTAAATGCAGGCTTTTAAAGGACAGCGGGGCTCCCATCTCCTCCCTTAGCTGAGAGCCAACGGAGCCCTTTCCAGTACTTTACGCCAGGTGCTCACAGCCCACCTGCCAAAGTCAAATTCACACTTGAGAACACCCAGGGATTTACTGGCAGGATTGCTGGCGGGTTGGTTTTTTGTGTTTTTTTTTTTTTTAAGCCACTTAGCAGGAAATCTCTTTTTGGCCTTTCCAAATATACATGTGTGCCTGCAACACCCCCATCCACAGTAAAGTCGCACTAACATCCTGCTAGCCTCCACTAGCTGCCACACCGACCTAGTGTCTCCACACAGCAAGGGGCGGGTATCTTCATAATACAAAGACTTGCGGGCTCCCCCGCCCCAGGAACCTGTGAGATTTACCCAGTGCCTCCTCCAGACTGGAAGATTCTCTTAGATGCTATTGTCAAGTGAAGCAGGGGGAGGCAGCCCCCCAGAGCAGCTGTCCAGAGCATCTTCTCAAAGCAGTGCCCCCCAGAAAGCACCCCCTCCCCCGAGCAGCTGGCAAATTGCCCAAGTTCAGAGCACCGGGACCAGGAAGGACAGTATGCAAATACTGGGTTCCTCTGTCCAGAACCCCTCCGCCTTCACCCTCCACATCACAGGTGATGAGGCCCCACCCCTGCTATAAACAAGTGAGGGTCACCTGCCGGGTCAAGACTGGGGAGTGTTGGGGTGTCCAGAGAAACTTCCCGGTTGTTCAAATCAGTGATCCAGGACCCAGGGCTAGGAAATGAGGCCATTAGCCTCTCAGACCCAGAGCCATCTGGCCCCTCCCGCGTGGGCCTGGCCACTGTTACACTGGGGCTCTGAGCCAGCAGAAGGAGGTAAATAAAAGGCAAAGTCAGAGGACACCTCAAATGACGGCGGTACTAGCCAAGCAGCCACGCAGCAGCCGGCTCAGCCTCCTCTTCGGGGGGCCGGCTTGTTTCTGCTTTGAGGACAGGGTCTTACTGTGCTGCCCAGGCTGGCCTTAAACTCACAATCCTCCTGGCTAAGTCTCCCAAGCCTGGGATCACCAGGGTCCCTGCCTTCACTGACTGGATGTTCTGGTGTCTCATGGTCTCTGATGGTCCTGGTGAGCACGTCAGTTCCCTGCTGTGTGATTCAAACAGCTCTGACACGGCCTCACTGTATAGCATTTGAATCATGATTTTGACTTTAGGAAAAAAAAAATCTGTCTGCATTTTTAATACCATCCCCCAGAACGTGGGGTGCAAGCTCAGAATCTGTGCACAGCCTCCAAGAACTTTTTACAAACTTTCAGGCATCAGGGGACTACCACCAAGTTTCAAAGGAGAAACTGTGACCCAGGAATGTTGTGGCTGCTACACAGAGTAGTTACAAAAAATCAATGCATTCAAAGGCTGTCAAACCATGGATGGAGACTAAACGGCTCTGATTCTGGCCAGCATACTGCCTTGAAAAGGAATCTGAGCTCAATACGTTCTCATCGATTAGTGATGTCTGACTAGAGCACAGACATAAGTAGAGGGGGAAAGTGTGGCAGGTTTGTGCTGTCCCTGCATCCAACACTTTGCAGATGTTTTGGGGGATTTTACTGCTAAGATTTTACCACAGGAGTGAGGCATCCCAGAGTTAGACGGCAGCCAGTCACAGGCTGAGGCCTGTCAGAATCTAGTGAGGCCATGGCCATCCTGTCTAACTTGGGGAACTGTTCTCTCAACCTTGTGATCCACCCCCTCCCAGCCCACTGGATCTTCCCTAGCCTCCTGTGAGGGGTGCTGGAAAACAATGGGACTCCAGCCTCAAATGCATCCAGCAGAACTTAGGAAATCCAGAGACCCTGGCCTCTCCAGCCCAGGCCCTGACCAAGCATCCTGGGCCTCCCCCAGCCCTGGCAGCCACTCCCTCTGCAGGAAGTGGACACTTGACCGCACATGGCGTGTGAGGTCAGGAAAGGGATCTTGTATCTGCTTACACAAAGGGGAGCCCAACTTTGTTTGGCTGAAGGTCCCTGACCCCCCAGGAGACCAAGGGCTGAAGGATAGAAGGGAATTCTGGGAGGCTTTGCAACCGCAATACATAGTTACATTTTTGCTCTTCCTCAGGGACGATTCGGTAAACTTTGTAGGGCTCCGAAATGTCCAGCTGGGATCTGTCAGTCACTTCCTCAAAGTCCGGGCTCTTGTTCAGAGCACAGCGTAGCCTCGTCTTCCAAGTGGCTGGCTCAGCCTTATCTCCCTCTTTAAACTTCCCTTTAAAAACTGCCCAGGCCTGAGGAGAGAAGAAAGGCATACTCAGCACAGGGCGACACAACTACAGAGCCTGGGAAGATGGAGGCCACACGCCCCTTCCCCAGAGACCCTGACTGTTAACTCCCATTGAAGGTCAGGACTCAGGGACTTCCAGAAGGCTGCTGCATGTGAACAAGCTAGGCCAGCACAGGGGTTCCCCAAGAACACCAGCAGGGCCAAATTTGAGCCCAAGCTGAGGCTCCCCACACCCCTGAATGTGTCTTCAGCAAAATCCTTCCCTGGCTTGAAGGGCCTAGGGGCCCTAAGGTCAAAGCTCAAAGAGGAAGTCGTGCTTGGTTTCACTAGAATGTTCAAAACAAAGATTTTTTTTTTGCTTTTTCAAATCAACCTCTTAGCATGAAAAGGGACATTTGAGAAAGACTAAATGTGATGCCCTTCGCACCTTGGAATAGAAATTTTGTTTTGCATTTTTGCATGTTTCTGGCCGTTTAAAATGCAATGAATCCTGCTGTTAAACGCCTCTTTTGCTTTATAGTCCATTGATCTGAACTAAGACCAAAAAAGTTACAGGTGGAGACTTAAAGCACTGGGCAGTATTCAAAAAATAAAATGGGCTGGGGAGGGTTTAGTAAATAGACTGCTTGCCATACAAACATGAGTTCGAATCCCAGCACCACATGGGGGCTAACAATTGTCTGTAACTCCAGTTCCAGGGGACTCCGACGCCGCCTTCTGACCTCCATGGGCACTGCACAACACGGGTGCACTTACACACATGTAGGCAATATACTCATACACACAAAATAAAATACTTTGAAAAAGCAAGGTGCGGGGCTGGAGAGACGGCTCAGCGATGAAGAGCACTGGCTGCTCTTGCAGAGGACCCAGGTTCGATTCCCAGCACTCACATGGCAGCGACGAACTGTCCTTAACTCCAGTTCCAGGGGAATCCGAAGCCCTTTTCTAACCTCCGAGGCATTGCACGACACGGGTGCACTCACATACATGCAGACAATACACTCATACACATAAAATAAAAATAAATAAAATATATTTTTTAAGGTGGGAGCAATAAGAGACAGCCAGACTCTTACACACACAGATACTCGAGCACACAGGCACACACAGGAACAGTCAGGGCTGATGCTTTCTACGCTGTTGACGTCAAATTCTGCATCTATGCTCAGAGGGGAAACTGGACAGACACTCCACCAGTGAGCCTGAGGGGCCATTTCCTCTGGCATAGAGACAAACCCATTTGTAGAAATGTTTCTTAAGGGGCTGGAGAGATGGCTCAGCAGTTAAGAACACTGGTTGTTCTTGCAGAAGACCCCAGTTCGAATCCCAGCACCCACACGGCAGCTAACAACTGTCCGTAACTCCAGTCCCAGGGGATCCAACAGCCTCTTCTGACCTCTGTGGGCATTGCACAACACAGGTGCACTTACCTACATGCAGGCAATACACGTGTACACATAAAATAATTTTTAAAAAACTTTTTTAAAAAATAAATGTTTCTTAAGTACACGGTTTTCGGCTCTGTCCTTTAATATAAACGTCAGTGCTAGCCACACACTGACTTGTGGGTTGTTTTCAAGAGCCCCTCACCTGCTCCGTGAACAATGAGTTCAGGCTGTGATTAGTTCAGTTGGGTTCTCTGCCTCAGCACTACTCAGAGCCATCTCCATGAGGGGGACCATGCCATACACTGAAGCTTTACCAGCGTTCCCCTCCCAGGACGTAAGAACTTGGGAGTGCCTGTCACTCTGGCTGAGGGACCCCCTTGGGTACCTCTGGGAATCACTGGGTCACTGCATTTCAATGCCACCTGGAAAGGCCTGGGTGCTCCACCCACCACATCAGACCCCATGTCAGGACGATCCTGGACCTCCACTGGGTACTAGCATGGGCCTCCCCTGAGCCTTGCATGCCTGGCCTCTGCAACCTTCTTGGCCAGGTCCAAAGATGTAGGGTCTCTCAGGACCACCCATCGCAAAGGAAAAGACAGAAAAGGTGTCCCTGGGGACCCACAGCACAGCACCGCGCCTGCCTGCCGACACCCAGTCCCACCTTAACTTTAGTGCTCCTCAGCATTACTTACTATGTCTGAAGGCATTGTAAAAACTAACTCTGTGGGCTGGGAATGTAGCTTAGTTGACAGATGCTTGCCTAGCATGCATGAAGCCCTGGGTTCAAGCCTCATACACTGGCATCATGGCACACGCATGCAATCCCATCACTCAGGCGGTGGAGGCAGCTGGTTCAAGAGGTCAAGGCCATCCTCATCTATATAGCAAGTTTGAGGCCAGCCTGGGCTACATTAGACCCTGTGTTGAAATAAAATAAAAATCACTTCTTTTTCCTCCTTCAAGGCCCACCAAGTTGAAGGCCCTGAGGGCTAAGGGCTTAGGTCTATTGCCAGGCCCTCCCAGCACAGCCCCGGCTTAAATGACAGGAGCTAAGGATCTTTTATCATTCTTCATCTGTGGCTGACACCTGAAGTGGGTCTCAGGACGCTACCTACACACAGCACAGGGCTCAGTGACCTAAGCAACCTCTTAGGATCCCCTTCCGGGGAAGAAAAGCAAACACACGCCTTTCCCTTAACTCCTGCATTCCTGAAAGTCCCTGGATGTCTGAGATGAACAGGTTCCCTACTCAGCCAGCGCCTAAGATGGCTTTTTCTGCCCAAGGTCTTGAGGGCTAAGGGCTTAGGTCTATTGCCAGGCCCTCCCAGCACAGCCCCGGCTTAAATGACACGAGCTAAGGATCTTTTATCATTCTTCATCTGTGGCTGACACCTGAAGTGGGCCTCAGGACGCTACCTACAGACAGCACAGGGCTCAGTGACCTAAGCAACCTCTTAGGATCCGCTTCCGGGGAAGAAAAGCAAACACACGCCTTTCCCTTAACTCCTGCATTCCTGAAAGTCCCTGGATGTCTGAGATGAACAGGTTCCCTACTCAGCCAGCGCCTAAGATGGCTTTTTCTGCCCAAGGTCTCGAGGCAGGCTTCCCACAGAGATGATGACAGAGACATGCCTGTGAGGACACTGGGGAGCACCCTCACACAGAGCAGCTCAGAGAGCACCGTCTACCCTGTTGCTCCCCCTCGGGTGGGCACCCCGTCTCCAGCCTGCCCTCATCCCCGCCGAGATTGTAGACTCATTTCAGATTGCCACACAGAGCGACTGACTGCGTAACCAACGGAAGCATCAGGAATCTTGCGCATCTCCTCCACGCTGTTGAAACGGCCATGAAGCACATTGTGTAAGAGGCATAAATCTGGAGATTGACTTCGTCCCTCCTGTGGGAAGAGAAGCTGCTGTCTCCTGCACGAGCTGCAGCCGGGGGATCTCAGCTTGGTCCAGACTTCTCTGGAAGGGTCACTAATGTCCTTTCTCTTCCAGCATCAACACTAGCAGTCATAGGCGCAACACAGGGTTCTCAGTGAGGGGGAGTATCTGGCAGTCAGAATCAAGAAAAGCTGAGTAAAACATCCCACATGGCCCAGCACAGCTGCACCACAAAGGCACCAGTAGAGCCTGGCCTGCGGCCACTGAGAACGCAGACCGTCCTACCACCGATGGCACTGGTGTAGGAGTGACTCCAAAGAGGTTGTGACCATCAGGCCAACAGCCATCACAAGAGAAAAGCCACGGGCCTGAGCTAAGCAGCAAGCACTGTCAACCCTCTGTCCTGGCTTCCTGACTGGTCAGTGATCACGAGAAACTGGGGGGTGGGGGCAGTGGGGACCCCTTCAAGGTAAACAGAACAGCCCCAGGTAACCATTCTACGTGGAGCTGTCAGGAGCTGGTGCCTGATTCTCAGAGCCCTGAAGCTCCCGACTGCAAAGAAATGGAATTGCTAGTAAAAATGAGCAGGCAGTCCTCAAAAAACAAGGTGGTGGATGGGGCTGGAGGGATGGCTCAGCAGTTAAGAACACTGACTGTTCTTGCAGAAGACCCAACTTCGAATCCCAGAACCCACATGGCAGCTAACAACTGTCCATAACTCCAGTCCCAGGGGATCCGACAGTCTCCTCTGTCCTCTGTGGGCACTGCACGATATGGGTGCACTTACCTACATGCAGGCAATACACTCATACACATAAAATAATAAATAAAAATATTTTTTAAAAAACAAGGTGGTGGCATCCTGAGGTGCACCTCTGGCCTCTACATGCATGCACACATGTGTGCACATGACCCTCACACATACACAAGAAAATACATACATAAATCTCACATACACAAACACCCACAAAATGGTGTGCAGACCTGCCACAAACTCAGGTCTGACAGAGACTGGCGGTCTGGAACGTGTTCTTTTCTTCTTTTTTTTGGTCTTTTTGAGACAGGGTCTCCCAGGTTGGCCTTTTGCCTCTGCCTCCCAAGTGCTGGGGCTGCAGGTGTGCGCCACCACACCTGGCAGGAATGTGTCTTAAGTCAGCCCCGACCTACGTATGTTCCAAGCTGAGGCAATGTGTGTCTGCCCAGAAATTTCTGCTCATTTATATCAGAAGAGTGAAGGGCCCAGCAATGTTCTGGGGTGCTGAGCAATGTTCTGGGGTGCTTCAGGCTGCCCCAAACTTATCAGTCTCAGGTCATTTTCAGGTCTTCAGGGTTTCAACCTGCCTGGTGGCCCCCGACCGACACACACACACTTGTAACCTCCCTCCCCAGCCCAGCTCCCCAGTGTGCACAGAGCTAGCAGTGGTGGTTTACAACCTGGGCTCTGGGTTAGACCACCTGGGCTACAGCTGTTCACAAAGTGGAAGTTTGGGTTGACCTTGGCCCAAAGCTATGAATCTCCCAGGGGTGAAATGGGGATGTCTGGAGTCTCAGAGACGCCCACAAGTGACTCTGACCCACAGGGGACTCCTGACCCAGTGGGTCTGCAGAGCTGGGCTGAGCTGGTCCCAAGGGAAAAACTGCTCTGCTTCTCAGTACTAGAGGGGTTAAGATCTTGGGCCACCTGGTCCCAAATGCCACTCTCTCACACAGGACCTGTAAGACCCCAGAAAAGCCACTTCTCCCTGAGTGCCACTGTGAAATGAGGACAGGAGAGTCACCTGCCATGCAGGACAGGACGAAGGAAAAACAGAACAACACAGATAGGCCTGGACCAGAGCCGACTATCACTCACCCAGCTGGCTAGCCAGCCCCTAGGGTAGAAATGAAGGCCAGGCCCACCATACACAGAGCACTTAAGGGGGAACCTATGTGTGGGCATCTACAAGGTCAGGACACCCCTTGAACCCTGACCCAGAAGTGAGGATGATGCCTGTCACCCTTTGGTCACCCTGTCACCAGATCAGGCAGAAGTCACAGCTTGAACAAGCAAAGACTGACAGATTCCCTGGGCAGCTGAGGGGAAAGGCAGGGCAGGTGGCACACACGTTCTCAACCTTATCAGAGGAACAGTGCCAGGGCCAGGCATTCCTGGGCCAACGTTTCTCCTAGAACACTGGGTTGGCTGTTTGTCAGTCAGGACATCTCTGGATACTTCCAGAGTCAGAGGGACTCCAGCAGCACCCTCGGATCACGGGGCTTTACCTTGAAGATAGAGGCATCCACTTCCTGGTTGTAATCCTGCTTGCCAGCGTGTTTCCAGGGAATGCGGAACATTGTCTTCTGGTCGTTTTCCCAGATCAGCCCTGGGTACATACTGCTGTCGATTTGCTCAATCAGCCACTGCCGGAGGCGCCGCCCACCATTCCGGTCACACATCCTTGAAAAGAAAAATAAAACCATCAACCCTGCAATATGGCAAAAGCCGCTCCCTGAGCCAGAGGGACCCCGGGCTGACAGGAGGACAGACACTACACAGGTGCCGGTTTGGGGAAAAGCCGGAGATCCAGGGAATCTGGGCCAGAGCGGCAGGAAACAAACTATGTGCCCAGATGTACCCACTCTGTGTCCCTGGTGGTGAGTCCAGCTCCCCGCCAACCTCTCGTTCCGGACACACACACCCAGGAGATCCTGGCACTGGGAACGGCCTCTCAGGTGATGCAGAACCTTCTATGAGCCGTCCGCGCTCTTCAAACCAGCCTGATGACTGATGCCCCAACTTCCTGAGTCCCTGAAAACTGCGGCCCCAGTGCCACCTGGGACAGAGGACACCCTCAAAGTCACCTCCTCCGGGTTGTTCCTTCCAGCAGGTGGTGATGGGCAAGGGACACAAAGGGACCCCGTTCCCACTGGGGATGTCCAAGCTGACGACCAACTGCAAGAAGATGAACTAGAGGACAGGACAGACACCCCTGCGGTACAAAGCCAGCTCAGGAGTCCCGCAGCCAGACCCTGTCACCCCCAGACACCCAAAGGCATCCCTTAGATGCTGTCAAAGAGATGTCAGGAAGCTTTGCCCACAGTCCAGGGAAGAGAGTGCTTTGCCCAGCAAACTCGAAGCCAGTATTTACAAGAACAGCCTGGAAATCCCCGAGGCAGTTGGACAGACGCCCACCCCAAAACTAGAACACAGCGTTTCTATCTCTGATTACAGTGTGACCTCCTCGGACAGGCAGGGGATGGCAACCGGCAGTGGGGAGATAGCCTGTCCCCAACACATGGCCACATCCAGAGCCAGCACAGTTCACCAAGCAGTCCACAACCCTGGAGGAGGTGCCTTTCTCCAGGGGCCCCCTGAGGTAGCAGTGAGGGCAGAAAGGTGCGGGGCCAGGTCCCCCAGAGGAGGTGAGGTCTTTCCATCCCTGGCTTTAGGTTTTCCACAAAGCTGGTAAGGCAGGGACCCAACCTCAGGCCTGGTTTTTATTCTTGGTTTTGAGGCCGTGTCTAACCCCAGACTGGTCTCCAGTTTGCTGTGAAGCTGAGTACGACCTCCACTTTTGAGCGCTACAATCACATGTGTGCACATGCCCTGTCTCTGGGGCTGGTCTAGGGGTTGAACCCAGGGCTTCTGTGTGCTGGGCATGTGCTCTACCAACCAAGCCACAGTCCCAGAGGGACTGGACTGGAGCTTGGGACCCTGGGCCCCAGCAAGGGCTTGTCTCCTCCCAGACCCTGGGATGCCACCTGATGGTCTGAGGACCCTCACGTGAAAAGGGGGAAAGAGGAGAAACTGTAAGAGACCCAGAATTCTAAGGCAGATCTGAGAAGAGTACCCAAGGATGAAAATAAACCACCACCAGGCACCGCAAAAAAAGCAGGGTACTGAGTCCTACAGCTCCAAGGAGGACAGAGGAGGCGCTCCTGGCCTGAGATGCTCCTGTGCGGGGTGCATGGAGGAGCATGGTGGGTCAAGACACACCGGGGGCTGGTATGCCAATCAAAGGCATCACCACCCATTCTTAAACCACAGTCCAATTTTTTCCAGAGAGAGGGACAGCACTCTGAAATCAGGGTTCCCAAGGCATCCATCACCCCAAAGCTGTTAGAGACAATTGTCTCGGTGCATGAGAGGACTGAAAAGAAGAGTGAATCACAGACCAAGAAAGCTAGAAGTAAAAAGCCTCTAATCCAGGCCCTTCTTCACTCAAAAAAGGAGACCCTGGGAGATAGAGCCGTCTGGGCACCAGCACTGTCACTCTGTCCCCAGCCCCCAGTCTCAGAGATTGGATTCATTCCACAGACAAAAACCACAGCTTTCCCCAGACACCCTTTTATCCCCTTGAGCCACCTCTGAGGTCCTAGGCAACGCAGAGCCTGACTCTCCCATGATGATGGTCCATGACAATATATTAATGACCAGCAACCCAAGTCCACCCAGAGTCCAGCCAGGAAAAAATAATAAGCCAGTCACATGTTTATGACTTCCTCTTCTGGATTTTGGGGTAATATTCCCTCTCCTGGCCGAGCCCTATCTACAACTAACCTGTGGTCAGGGAAACACATCCTGGACCAGGAGCCCAGGAGGCAGGAGGATCCCAGGCTGCAAAGTTCACTCAACTTAGCCAGCAGCATATGCACTGGTACCCCAGGGCTCAGGCCACTCCGCTCTCACAGCCCCCTGCACCATTCAGTCCAGCCAATACCAAACCATAACTAAGCGGAAACCCATCACAGCCAAGCTCTGAGCTTCCCCAAGAGAGCGACTCACTCAGACCCTCCTGAGGGAGTTGGCTGCAACACAAAAGGAGAGACTTAGAATTGTCACTTAACCTAGGGGCCAAGCTGCATGGTGGGTCACACCTGTGATCCCGCAGGAGGCTGAACACGCGGAGTGCCAGGCCAGCCTGGGCTGCCCAGTGAGACCCTCAACAAAGAAAAAGAAAGGGAAAAAAAGTGGAGCCGCAGGGCAGGGCCAACTAAAAAATTCTAGACTATTCAAGGACCAGTTTCCACCTCTAAACCCCTTCCTAGCCTGGGCTAATGAGACATCTCACCTGGGAAAGTGCGCCTACAGCCAGTGCTTTCAGCAAGCTGTCCCTGTGAACGGTGACTCCGGGGACACGCTTTCCTGCCAGAACACCGTCAAGAGGATGTGCAAAGCCACTGGGCAGCTGGTCAGAACTGGAGCGGGTCTGCGCTCCAGGGAGCCCACGCTGGCCCGGGCGGTTTATTCCAGCCCGATGACCGGCAGGTCTTACAGAAACGGGGACCACGCTCTCCGTTCACGGTTCCCACGCCAGCCAGATTTTAAGAGAAAAAGTGGGGTTTTCTTTGGGCACCTCAATCCTGGGCGCAAACGCGTCCAACGTTCCCCCTGGACGCGCGTGGAAGGACCCAGAGCCCGCACCGCGCGCCCCGCTCGCCGCGCCCTACCTGCCGCCGCTGGTTCCCACGCTCCCGCGGGCTCCGGGGTCCGTGCCGGGGCTTTAAGGGCGGGGCGGGGGCCGGGCGGGTCCCGAGCGCGGAGCGACGGCCGCGTGGGCCAATGAGCGCGGCCCGCCCGGTCCGCCTTCTTTGAAGCGCTCGGCTTTCCGAGAAATCAGCTCCGTCGACCGCGCGGCCCGCGGGGTCCGCCGACCCCGTTACAGGCGCCGTCCCCCACCCCGGGGACGAGCGTCGCGTGGGAGGGGGCTTCCCCGGGGGCGCGGGGGCGGGCCGATGTCAGGGTCAAGGTCGAGGCGGCCGGTGGGGCTCGGGTCGGAGGGCAGCGAGCCGCACGCCGGCCGGGGGTTCCCCGCGGGGAGGCCGGGGTTCCGGGAGCCGCGTGGGGCGCCCCCGGCCCCGAACACGTGTGGAGCTGCGTGCGCCAGGTGCCGAGGACCACCTGCGGCTGGCCCGGAGTACCCGGATGACCACCCACGGGTGCCCAGGGAACCCAAGAAACCACGCGCTGGGCTGGAATGCCCCGCGGGGGAAACTCCGCGCACAGCTTTTTCCCGAGAAAACCTCCATTGTGCAAAGAGAGGGTCCACAGCCCGTGCCCCAGCCCTGCCCGAACTGGGTGTGTGGGTTTGCTGATGACTGTAAGACTGGGACACACACACACACACACGCACACACACACAGGCACACACACACACGCACGCACACACACACACAGGTTTGCTGATGACTGTAAGACTGGGACACACACACACACACACGCACGCACACACACACACACACGCACGCACACACACACACAGGTTTGCTGATGACTGTAAGACTGGGACACACACACACACACACGCACGCACACACACACACACACGCACGCACACACACACACAGGTTTGCTGATGACTGTAACACACACACACACGCACACACACACACACACACACGCACGCGCGCGCAGGAACTGTTTTCCGGGTTCCACTTCTGAGCAAGTGAGGGTCGTAGCCCACTTTCATGGCCAGCCGGCCAACCTCACACCTGTGGCAACGTTCACCCGGCTCTTGTTCATCCCGCTTTTCAAAGACTTGGGAAAATCGTGCCAGGAAAATAACTTTTTTATTGGCCCCAAATACAAGGTGTGCACGGCTGAATTTCAGATAAACACATATCCAAGTAAAGACCCTCAAAGCAGAAACTCTTAAGTTACTCATAAATAAACATCTCGGTGTGTGTGTGAGATGGAAATTGCATGAATTTCTTAATAAAGATCTTCCAGGAGTCACAACCAATTATAAAGCTGAGATTCCTGGTGCCAAATAAGTTCAAATGACTGTTTTTCAAAGCTCAGAATCTTTGAGCAGTGCAGAACCCTGTTTGCATGAGGAATGAGCCATCCAGAAATCAGAGCCCCTTGGGATTAGGAAAGTTCTAAAACAGCGTCCTCTGTGTGTGTATGTGTGTGTAGTGTGCATCCATCTTTACGAATACCACGCCTTATGAGGTGACACAAGTTCCCTGTAAAATCTGTGAGGCACAGACTCAGTGCAGCTCAAGTTCCCACTCTGCACTCCTAAGGGGAAAAGGCTGAAGGAAGCCGGTTCAGTTAGTGTTGTCAGCAGGTGTCACTGTAGACACTGCAGGAGCCTGGGTGCGTCCCACAGGAGCTGCTGCCCAGGACACGTCCGGCTTCTGTTTAGTTTGACTGCCAAAGATTCCCAGAGAGCTCCAAAATATGTTTACTGACAGCATAGGTTTCCACTCAGACCTGAGAAAGCCCAAGCCACCTGACAGTGGGGCCATGGGGCCAGGACTCCAGCATTCCCCACAGGCCACAGGTGGTTACTCCTGTCAGATCCAGCCCATCAGAGCCTCCCTGGGAAAGAGGGACATTGGGAACCAGGCTGAAGCCTATTTGAGATATCTGTGGGGGCCAAAACACCTGGAGAGAGCCCGTCACCACCTTACAGCGCCTCCCAGAGAGGGGCTCACACTGTAGATCCAGAGGGCACAGATCCCAGACCAGTGAGAACCACCCACTGCCGGTCCCCTTGTCCACATCGAACAGATTACCCAGGCCTTCCCAGGGTCCTCAGCATAGGCATTGTTACCAGATCTCACCTAGCTCTACCATCAGGGGTCTGACCCACACCTCCACTGTTGTCAGGGACCTGACACCCCTATCTCCCGTCAGCCACCTGACACCCCAATCATCATCAGGGATCTGACAAACCCCATGGTCCACAGGTTTCCACTTCACCTAAAAACCTCATCACCACTCACTGTCCCACTGGGACAAAAACTCGCAGTCCTCATCAGGGTGTTGGGGTGTCAGCAGGGGCTCCTGGAGGCTCAGGGGAGAATCAGTCCCCAAGAGCTCGACCTTCCAGCTGGATTCTTGGCTGATGGCCGGGTGAGTCCTCACATCGCCGTGTCCTTCCTTCTAACCTTCCTCTTCCTCTAGGAACCTTGTGACTGCATTGGGCTCAGCTGGGTGATGGCGGCATCTCCCCCACTCAGGGTCAGCTGATTAGCAGGCCCAGCATTGTCCCTTCTGTGCATTTTGACTTGAGCGTCCTTAAGGGTCCATTGCTCTGCCCACCACTCCATCCTTAAGACCTAGCTCGGGGCCTATTTCCTCCACCAGCTCCACAGGCCTTTGTTGTAACCCCCAGTGGCAGCTACGCTCAAGCCCCTAACATCACAATTGGGCACTGAAAGCATGTGTGCCTTTACGGCTTGTTTCCCTGAACTGTTCTTGAAGTCAGCAGTGAAATCTCACTCTCCTACAACACCGTTTCTTAGCCCGGCAGTGAATTTGGAGTCCCGTGTGAATGTGTGTATGCGTGTGTGTGTGTGTGTGTGTGTGTGTGTGTGTGTGTGTGGTACACATGTGTGTGAATGCGTGGAGGCCAGAGGTCAACCTCTGGTACTCCTCCTCAGACACCAGCCACCTGGGTTTTTGAGACAGGGCCTCTCACTGACTATGAACTGAACAAGTAACCTCTGCTGGCTGGCCAGTGAGTCCCAGAGAGCGTCTCTCTACCTCCCCTGCACTGGCATTACAAGTATATATTACTATGCCAGTTTTTAATTTTATGTGTATGAGTGTATTGCCTGCATGTATGTAAGTGTGCCAGTGTAGTGTAATGCCCACGGAGATCAGAAGAGGGTGTCAGATCCCCCCGGAACTGGGGTTATGGACAGTTGTTAGCCAATATGTGGGTGCTGGGAACGGAACTCAGGTCCTCTGCTCTTAACCACCGAGCCATCTCTCCAGCCCCACCATGCAGGCTTTTTAAATGTGTGCTCTGGAGATCAAACAGTCCCTGTACTACTAAGCCAACTCTGTAGCCTTGTTTTTTTAATTACATGTCATTTGTTTATTGTGTGTGCATGTGATGCACCACAGCACGCATGTGGAGCTCAGATGACGCTTTGCCTGTCAGTTCCCTCCTTCTACCACGTGGGTCCTGGCACCAAGCCCTTTACCTGCTGCATCTTCTCATTGGCCTCATTTTTTGTTTGTATTTATTTTGTGAAACAGGGTCCCACTATGTAGCCCATGCTGGCCTCAGACTCCTGGTGATCCTCTGGCCTTGGCCTCCTCCATGCTGAATGACAGGTATGAGCCACTACACTCCATAAGGGATGCCTCAGCTAGACAAGCCTACAAGAGAAAAATCTCAAGAGTACCAAATGAGGAGGGAGCAGAAAGGACATGCTGGCCTCTGAGGTCCACCCAGCAGGAGTGAATTTGTACAGCCTCTGAGCTGGGGTCCCAGGGGCACCTTGTTTTCAGTGACTCACTGGGAGGATGTGCAGCCCACAGCCAGGCTCCTGGTAAAACACGCTGCAGAAAAAAGTCACAGAACTGAGTCAACTGCGCGCAAAGTCACCTGAGCAGGTCTGGAGGAAATGGGCCAGCCAAGGTCCTCCCAGAACTGCACAGAGTGTGCTCGGCTCCCAGCATCAGGTGGTGACGGTAGGCCTTGCAAACCCAGTAAAGACTCGGTGCCCCGGACCATTCCCGTAGACGTAGAGCAAATTGCCAGCCTCCTGGAAAAAGAGCGGGGTTCAGCACAGACCATATTTAGCTGAGGCATGTGAGCCCTATTTACCAGGGAGGTGTGAAGACCCAGATACTAGCTGAGGCTAGCTCTCAGCTGCAGGG